CAACTCCACGACTTCTTCTTTCTATCTCTTCATAAAACAAACAGGAAAAAACAAACCAGAAATAATAATCAAAATAATAATAACAAATTAAAGAAACAAAGAAAAGGTATGAGAAACACACATGTACACATAAAAACCATCAAAAAGCAAAAATCAGAAATGGTAATAAGCAAACAAAAGACCAATAAGGTTAAAAGAAAATGTTCAAACAAGGTAATATAAAACAAAAACAAAACAAAATTTAAAAATCCTCCAAAAATACCATTGAGTTCTCTTTGTGTTGGCCAACTATTGCTGGACATTGAGCCTGCCCTAGAATGTGGTTTATACACCCAGTGAGATTCTATTGAAGAAAACGAATTTCTCCTTTGCCAGAATTGTTGATTGGAGATAGTTTGTTGGTTAGTGATGGGAGCTTGGGTCCACTTCCCCATCTCAGAACTTAGACCATATCTAGCTTGGACCCGTGCATGACTGTGCATGCTGCTATGGTCTCTGTGTCTCAGTTCTGTAAAACTGTTACCTAGTCAGGACAAATGGATACAGAGGGCTTTCTTTGTCTGGTTGTTTATTTCTTTATTTATTTTCATGTGCATTGGTGGTTTGCCTGTGTGTATGCCTGTGTAAGGGTATTGGGTACCCTGGAACTTCAGTCACAGACAGTTGTGAGCCACCATGTGGGTACTAGGAATTGAACCCAGGTCATCTGGAAGTACAGTCAGTGCTCTTAACCACTGAGCCATCCTCCAGCCCCACAGAGGGGAGGGGATTAAGTAGCAAGATCATCCAGATGCCAGGATCTGCATCCGAGTATAGTGAAAACAGCCTTTACAGGGCATTTTACACGTGACAAGCATATAAACCTTTAACCTTTGTAAACATGTAAGATGCAGATACACAACTGAAAGTCACAGGGACACAGCTCATTGAATGTACAAAATCCACGTTAGAACAGCTGCTTACAAAGCAGTCATTTTAAGGCTATAACCCGAACAGACTCTTGAATGAACCTTTACTTTTTTGTTCTAAATATTTTTTATTAATTCCTTGAGAATTTCACAAATGTACTTTGATCATATCCACCACTCCTCTAACTCCTCCCATACCCACCCTCTTCATCTCCTTTTCACCCAATTTGAAGATGAGGGATGAGTGATATGTTGAGCTATGGTTATAGCAATATGTGATTAGGAGTTGTTTGAGTGGTGTGTTCATTTAGCTGAATAATATTTGATTATATAAATATGTCATATTTTCATTACCCATTCATCAGACATTGGACATCTAGACTATTTACATTTCCTGCCTATTGTGAATAAAGAAGCAATGAATATTGAAGAACAGATATTTCTGTAGTAAGACACAGTGACCTTTGAGCATCTGTATGAACATGGTGGAGTTGGGACATGTGGTAGACTTATTTCTAGCTTTTTGAGGAAACTCCACACCGAATTCCATAATGGCTATACCAGTTTGCACTCCTAACAGCAGTGGTGAATAAATGTTCTCCTTTCTACTTACCCATGTCAGCAATATTTTTTTTTAAATCTTGGCTATTCTGATTGGAGTAAAACAAAATCTCAAAGTAGTTTTAATTTGCATTTTCCTGATGGCAAAAGATGCTGAACATTTAAAAAAAAATGTTTCTCCTTTTAGAAGAAATTTGTATTTCATCTCCATGTTCAGTTTCATGCCCCGTTTTAAAATTTCAGTCTTTATTTTCTTGATGTTTCATTTCTTTGATTTATTTGTATATTCTAGACACCAACCTTCTGTAAGATGTTTAACTGGTACAGATTTTCTTCATTCTGTAGGCTGTCTCCTTACTCACTGATTGTATCCTTTGCTGTACAGAAGCGTTTTGGTTTAAAGGGGTCTTATTTGTCAGTTATGGCAGTGGAGCCCTAGAGGGGCAGGGTCATGTAGTTATAGAATCAATGGTCACTTCTTTTCTTCCCTACCATCCCATGTGCTTTTCTTAACATAATGCCACATCTCTCACATTTGCTTCAGAGACTATGTCTCTCTGAGAAAGAGTAATAAAGCATGGCCGAGAGAAACATCCACAGGGGAGCAGACCAAGGGAAAAGGCAAAACAGAGTCATGCCAGTGCTCAGCTGCTCAGTCTTAGGCAGTGCTAGCAACAATCCAAAAGGACTTATTCCAATACCTATAATAGATGGTCCTTTTTCACCTTATATCTTAGAATTCAGAGAAGAAAATAGAACCTACTTACAATTGTTATCTTTAGTCGAAAAAGTAGATACTGTTTTCGATGCTATGTTGCAGTTACAAAACCCTTACTTGTGTATGAGTTATTTTGATTTTTGAAATCTTCTCACATTCTCAACAAAGCAACACCCAAATATGATAAATCAAGAGGATTAAAATTTTACATTTATATCCAGAATAATGTTTCCCAACTCTCATTTTTCTGACTCAGAGTATTGTGAGTGTGATCTATATTATTTGAATGTGAATTGCCACACCCCTCAGACTCACATGTTAAATATTCGGCTTCCAGCTACTAGTGTTATTTTGAAGAGTTCTAGAAGCCAAGGAGCTGGGGACTGTAACAATAAATCTTTCTGCCAGCCACCTGCTTCTGCCGCAATATAGGACCCCCAAAATAATAAACAGATATTTATATTAGTTACAATGCTGCTGGCTAATGGCTAGGATTTCTCATCTGCTAGCTCAGTCTTAATAATCAACCATAATCATAAGACTTATTTTATAAAGAATGCCAGCAGAATGCATCCTTTCTTGTTGGGCTCACATGGTGGCTCCACAGAGAGGAGGAAGAAGAGGAAGAGAGCAACTTCCTCTTTGACCCTGCTTATATTCTTAGTCTGCCTGCTATGTCACTTCCTGCCTGGATCACAGGACTTCTTTACTACATTTCCCAGAATCCTCCTTGACTCCTAGTCCCATCTATCTTGCTTTCCTATTGGCCAATAGTACTTTAATTATCAACCAATAAGACAAACATATACACAGAAGGATGTCCCCCCATCAGGGGACCATAACACATATTGGAAAATTGCCACCTGTGTGTATGAAGAAGTGCAGAAAAGGAACCACTGGAATGGCTGCATCACTGAATGGTTGAGGGGGAGGTTTTTGTTGTGAATAAAAGAGAGAAGATATCCAGAGGCACATGCAAGAGTCCAGAGCAGAGCAAAAGACAAGTAGGCTGAACATGGCCAGGACTATCTATGAGAGATGGGACTACAGCAGGAGAGAATAATGGAGACAGTGAGATAACAAGAGACAGCAAGAGAGCAAGCAGATTGCAAGAGAGAGAATAAGAGAGTGACTGAGTTATAAGGAGGATGAGTAGCTGGCGGACTTAAGGGGAAGGTCCAGGAGGCTACCATGGTCTTTAAAATTTGTAACAAGTAGTTGTGAGTAGGGACTGAAGGAGCCTAGAGGCCAGCATAAGCTTTGATATGCAACCACAACCACGTGTACATGTCAATAGAGAGCTATATGTCCCTTCTGCCAGAGGTAAATGGAATTACTCCTTTTGGAAGATGGGAACTTGTTTCACAAGTTCCTGAGGAATGCTGACTTTTATCTAACCGCTAGAATTCCTTCTGTAGTCCAGTGTGAGCTCATTTCTGAATATATGAACTTCCTGAGACCTAACAACGTGCTACTTAAACTTTTTGAAAGCATGTTCTGAGACTCTGAGGTCCTGCCTCATATAATAATTGAGCATGGTTTCAGCATGTATCCTCTAAAATCCTGTCCTGAGTTAGACTGGCCACTTGGCTCTCTGTAACATGGAATACAGGTAGGGAGCAAACAGATAAACACATGAAAACATTGTGTTCTTGTGAACAGCTAGAAACCAAACCATTCCTTACAAACATTTCTATTGTTTATCCCATGATATAAAAGTGCTTCCAAGGGAACAGGAAACTACAATTTTATCAATCAGGAGACTCTCAGTTGGGAACTCCAGCAGTGATTTGATGGTGTTACCTTTGTTTACTCTCTCACTCAGGCTAATCTAGTTATTTCTGCTTGATGCTATAAGCACCTGATGGATGGCATTTTGCTCTGTCTTCAGAGTCTATCTACATGCTGCTTGCTATTTTTTCTTTTTCTTTTGCTTGCTACTTACTTAATAACATCACTTAGTTGAAACTGAAAATATGGCTATTGCAAATCAGTCTCCTGACTACACTAAACAGGCTCTTGGCTGGAGGAAGTAGGTCATTGTGGGTATCCTTGAGAGCTATACCTTGCTTTTGGATCCTATCCTTGTCTCTGTCTCCTCTGCCAGATGCTTCCACCATCATGCTGTTCTGCTTTACTCCAGACATGGAAACAATAGTGTCATTCAGGATGGACTGAACCCTCTGAAACAATGAGCTCAAATAAGTATTTCTTCCATTGGGTTGTTTTTATTAGGTGTCTTCTCACAATGATGAAAAATCACTAGTACAGTTCTAAAACCAAATCCAATGCATTATTTCATTTATCTTTTTAGTCTCCTGCCTATGTTAGCTTGGGCTGAGAGTGTCTTCCAGATTAATAACAGACTGTTGAACCCAGAATTGTCTTTTAAATTCTCCATATACCTATTGACTTAGTAAAGCTAATTTCTCCCCAGTTTTAGGGCCTTCTGGCTCTAGCAAGTTTCAAAACCTATTAATATTGCAGTAGGAATCAAAGGTGAACTCTTTCATATTCACTCTTACCAGTACTACAGCAGTGATTTGGAAAGAAATGGACAGTTGGTCAAGTGGGTTACAAATTAATATGGTCAAGTCTTGGATATTTGCCAATCTCACAGTTATTTTAACTCAACTCAAGTGCAAAGGAAGACACTCCATCACAGTGTCAGGGTTTGTTTCTAATGACTATCAAGTCAGGGATTCTTGAGATGTGGTTAGGCTATTCTTCTAGGAGGTTCAATCAGGCAGTCTTGACATAAGTTCTGTGACAAGCACTTGTCACTAACCCTCTTCATTTTGTCTCTGCTTCCCATGTTAGACTTATTTTTCCCAGTCCCTTCCAGCTACCTACAGAGTAATAATGAGCAACTTGTTACTGGAAGATATAATGAAGATGTAATTCTTCCTTGCCAATTTACAAGTGGGGATGAAGTTGTAATTCACTGGAAAAACCAGAATCATGATGTTCACAGTTACTATGGTGGCATGGACCGTTTGAAATCACAGTATCTTAGATATGCAAACAGGACATCCCTCTTTCATGGTGAAATTCACAATGGGAATGCCTCTCTAACTATCAGAAGATTGAGCCTTCTGGATGAAGGAATTTATTCCTGCTATGTGGGAACAAAACTTGGACGGACTCTCCAAAGAGTGGTGCTCAAAGTGGGAGGTAAGTGTGTATGTAACTTTTAGTAAATCATAATGATATAATTTGATATAATTCGGAAACAGCTTTTTCTGAACTTAATATGATAAGATCTCCCTTTCAAGTCAGTTCCAAAACTCTACCTCATTGTTTCAATGCATAATTTCATAGACAGTGCTCAACACATACTAATCTCATAATATGGGCATGCTATGATTGATATAACCATTCCCGATATTGGTGGGTATTCAGGGCTTCCAGTGTTTTCCCCACAGATTCTGTTGTGATGAATGTCTTTATAGTTACATAAGATGATGACAAATTATCTGAAATAAAAGTACCAGAAGTAAGGTTTTAATATTCCAATAACATTGGCAGCATAAGGACATTCATTTCCCTAGTAGCTCTATCAGCACTGAATATCATTAGTCTTAAACATCTCTTCCTGTATGGTGATGAGAAATACTGAATTAAATTTAAGTTGCCTATTTGTAATAAAATATAAGTTACTGTTGATATTGCATGATTTTATCATCTCCCCAGCAACTATTATGTAACTCTAGCCACACTATATGATTAATGTACTTGTAGTTGCCAGTGGTTAAGTTTATATTTAATTAAACTGGAGTTCAATTAAAACTTAAGAAATACTTTCAATTTCATAATCATACTACCAAGAATTCTTGTTATCACATGATAATGTTGAGTGTGTTTATCATTGACAAGGTATGTTAGACAGTATTCTTCATTTCATAGTCAATTTTACTGCTATTATGAATTTATTGTTAGTTCAGTTGTATTTTGTTATTTTAAATAGATATACTATTTTCATGAATACAGATGCTCAATGTATTTTGTCATAAGCAATCACCATTCCCTATTTCCACCATTTCCTGGATCTATGTACCCTTCCCAACTTCATATTCATTTTTTTTCTTTTTAAGTAATTCACTGTATTTAACTAGTGCTTCCCATATATGTATGTGTATGGGACCAACTACTAGGTGGACTTTCTCCTAAAGAAAACTAACCTTTTTCTAGCAGCATCAACTGTCAGTAGCTCCTCAGTCAGACATGGAAGCTCATGTGCCTTGCTTTCCCCGGGCTGGGATGTTGACTGGCTTGATATTTTGCATGTCTTATGTAGGGATCCATAGCTGTTGTAAGTTCATGGGAACAATTGTTCTGTCATGACTAGAAGACACTGTACTCCCCAAACTCTAACTTTTACTGTCTTTCCTTCCCTTCTTCTTCAATGGCCACTGAGCCTTGGAAGGAGTGCAAGTGTTACAGCTCTGGAGGGAAAGGTATCCTAAGTTGTCAGGAAGTCAGGCTACACCTGAATCTGGGGTATAGTGGGGAATTGTCTCCCTGCAGGATGTAGCAATCCTGCTACTCTCTGAGAGAGCCATTACAGCTGAGCTCTTCCCCTCCCAAAGGAGGTACACTGGCAAGTAAGTATGAGTACATGTAAGTGTGTGCACAGCTAGGGTATTCTGGATAATGGAGTGCTGTACAGTATTGCATGCTCCTGGGGGATATTGTCTAATGTATTTTAAAAATTTAATTCTCACTATTTTCTCCTCTGATTTAACTGCTTCATATCTTGACTCAGAATTGTATATTAAAAATAAAACTCAAATAGGCTGAGTCTGTAGCTAAGGAGACCAGAAAGTGCTGCATGAACTACAAAATAGATTTTGACTCTATTTTCTTGTTCAGGGAAGCTACTAAGTTTGTCAGATAAGATTGTAGAGACTAGCGATTGTTATTGGTTGTGTACCCATGCATATTCTTCCTATTCTTCCTGAACAGCTGTTATTGGTTGTGTACCCACACATATTCTTCCTATTCTTCCTGAACAGCAATACCCAATCTTAAGCTTCTTCAGTTTTTGTTTGGATTTAGTTTTTATGCAAATAATGAGAGATCTTGTTAATAAAATTTAGCCTTTATTGCATAAGTATTGATAAACTAATGGCCATAATTTTTCATAACTCACTGATTATTTTGTGCAGCATTCCACTCCCCTTTAATGAAATATGAACAAATGAACATGGAGAGCTTTCTGGAATGCAGTATCCAGAGTGTTTATCCTCATCCACATATCACATGGAAAATGGACAATACAGATGTCTCTGAGGAAAGCAATTCAAAAATAACTGGGATTCCGGGTCCTTTTCATATTAAAAGTATGCTGAATATTACAGGATCAAATTCATCTTTTGAGTGCACTATTGAAAATTCACTTCTCAGTCAAACATGGAGAGGAAAGTGGACATTTTCAGGTAGACTTCATTGGGCTTTCTGTGTACAAGTGCTTTGTCAGAAGCAAAGGGGTGCTTGTAGATATACAAAGAAACAAGGAAAGAAAAAACCATCTGCAGAATGGATAATTTGGCTGCATTTGTTCTGAGCATCAGTTCCTACTCATAAAATAGAAGTACCTACCTTACTAAGTGATTTTACACTGAATGAAGACACTAGAGATCTGCCCATGAATGTTTGTTTATCTATCTATGACTACTCCTTTAAATAGGATTTTCCATCTGCACAGAAATTTGTGTCCCTTAGAAGATCACAGCCCCTGATTCTCTCCAGTTGAAATATTTAACTATTAATATTGCTGGGGTTTAAACATTGATCTTTAAAGTATGTTTATTTTACTTATTGGAGGAAATATAATGATACATTGAGCATGAGGAAATCAGAGAACAATCTGCGAAAGTTGGTTCACTCCTTCTACCACATGCATCCTGGGAATTGAACTCAGGTTGCTAGACTCAGCAGCAGATGCAGTGTCCCAGAGCACTTCTTCAGGGTGGAAGAGTTAAAATCCAGGGGTTTTCCTCCCTGGAAGACCCCATTCCAGCACAACTCGAAGGTCTAACACAATCTTTGAGAGAAATGTTAAAATAGAAACAGGGCAGCTTTTCTTGTATGAAACTCTACAATATAGATATCAGAAAGCTTTCCCCACAGACATAAGTACTGTAGCTTGTATTTCTTCCTAATTTTAAGAGTCATTTAGAAAATTCATCCGACAGTTTTGTCTTCACAAGTTTCCTTTTTGTTTCTGTTTTTAGGTAGTCATTGGATGAATCAAAGTGAGTCCATTTTACTCTGGTGTACAGTCAGCAGCAATTTTTCTCTACAAAATCAAAACTTTAATGTTACTTGGTCCAGGATACAAAATGGAATATATTCTGTCTTGGATTGGCATCTGGACTCTTCACAGTACACCGCTACTAATGACTCTGGATTCTCATGGAACAAAGCCCTGAGAGATCACAGTGACTTCCCCATAACATTGAAACACCTTCATGCTTCAGACAGTGGGGAATACTTGTGTAATATTTCTTCAACTGAGTATACATTACTCACAGTGCACAGGCTGATTGTAGGTAAGTTGTAAATAGGGCAGGCTAATGGTTTTTTTGGGTTGCAACAAAGGTTTGTTAAGACTTTTCACAATCTCATTGATAGAAACACCTTTACTCATGGTGGTAGGCGACATGCTATCTTTTGATCAAAGTTACTCTCAGAAGATTGCTTTTTCACTGTGTCTGTATTTTGAAATGAAGGGAATATATGCAATTTGGTGTCTATAAGGTAACTACCTTCAACTCCTCTTCACTGCTGTGTGTAATATACACCTTAGGGTCTTGGTTTTGGAGCTGAGGCTGTAGGCACAGAGGAAATTAGGATGCTGGGAAACATGGTGATGTCTATTAATTTGGTGGAAACAATCACATGGTATTTGAAGCACTAAGAGTGTGTCTATTCTGCTAACTTTTTAACACAGTCAGTTGCCAAAATTCCTTGTTTATAAGGTATTCTTCTAGTCCACTGAGCAGACCCAGGGAATGTGTGACATGAAAGTTACCTTTCTGGGTGAGGTGGCTGCCCACCCACCCTGTTCTATCACCCTGGCATAGAGGAAACCCTAACAGTTCTCTTTCATCCCTTAATAAGGATATTTGAGATTGTGAAAATTATTATGTGTTTCATGAATTTTTAGTTGTCTCTATGTTGTGGTTTCCAAAGAAAGCTTCTATGCTGAATGATAAAACTACTTTTGATGATATAGAATGAAAACTAAAGATGCATTTAAACTTCCTACTTTTCTCCCCAATAAGAGTGTTGGTTTTATGTAAAATGCAGTGAAGCCCAAATTCTATTTTTAAAACTGTTGCCTTGTAATGGATTCATTTTGGAGTATAGAAAAACAATCAGGAAGCATGTGTCTGAAGCTACATATGTCCCATATCCTTAAGCAGAGATTTAGTTTTCAGTTCATCCAAACTGAAGCATCAGGGCAATTTCAGCTCTGGATAAGTTTTTTTCAGAACCTTGCATCCTCAGATATACCCTGTTCAGTATGGCCAGGGAACGTCTGCCCACATTTCCCAAGAAGAGGCTTGTAGCAGAAGCATCCTAGCAGGGAAGAGACCAGAAAGAGTAGTCATGGTATTGGGCATGAAGTTTTTACTGAGGCTTGGTTTCTTAGGTCCTTTTCTATTGCCTTGACAAAACACTGTGACTAAGGCAACTCATGAAAGAAAGCATTTAATGGGGGCTCACAGTTGCAGAGGGTTAGAGCCTGTGGCCATATGACAGGGAGCATAGCAATAGGCTGCTCAGCATGGTGCTGGAGCAGTAGCTGAGAGGTTTAAAGGTAGATGATTTCCAATTTTCTGAGAAACCACCATATTGATTTCCAAAGGGACTTTACAAGTTTGCACTGCTATTACAGTGGAATAGTCTTTTCCTTTCTCTACATCCTCTCTTGCATAAGCTGACACTAGTGTTTCTCATCTTAGCCATTCTGACTGGCGTAAGATGGAATCTCAGATTTCCCTGATGGATAAAGATGTTGAACAATTCTTTAAGTGTATCTTGACCATTTGAGATTATTCTGCTGAGAATTCTGTTTATATCTGTGCCCCATTTTTAACTGTGTTACTTATTTCTTTGATGTCTAGTTTCTTGAGTTCTTTATATATTTCAGAGATCATCCCTCTGTCAGATGTGGGGTTGGTGAAGATCTTTTTCCATTCTTCAGGCTGCCATTTTGTTCTATTGCCTCACAGAAGCTTGTCAGTTTCATGAGGTCCCATTTATTAATCGTTGATCTCAGTGTCTGTGCTCCTGGATTCTATTCAGGAAGTTGTCTCCTGTGCCGGTGTTTTCAAGGTTATTTCCCTTTCTCTTCTACTACATTCAGTGTAACTGTTTTTGTGTTGAGATCTTTGATCCACTTAAACTTGAGTTTTGGGCAGGGTTATAGAAATGGATTTATTTGCATTCTTCTACATGCCAATATCCAGTTTCATGCCAATACCATTTGTTGGAGATATTTTCTTTTTTTGATTGTATACTTCTAGCTTTTTTTAAAAAAGTCAAACCCAGGTGTCCATAGGTGTGTGGGTTTCTGTCTGGGTCTTTGATTTGATTCCATTGATCAAGCTGTTCATTTTTATGCCAAAACCATGTGGTTTTTATTACTATAGCTCTGTTGTATGGTGATGGATGGTGATATCTTTGGAAGTTCTTTTGTTGTACTTGATTATTTAAACTATCCTGGGTGTTTTGGTTTTCCATATGTGGTTGAATAGTGTTCTTTCAAAGTCTGTATAGATTTGTGTTGGAATTTCATTGAATCTGTAGATTACCTTTTGTAGGATTACCATTGTTACTATGTTAATCTTACCAATCCAAGAGCAAGGGAGATATTTCCATCTCTGGGTATCTTCTTCAATTTCTTTCTTCAAATACTTGAAGCTCTTTTTACACAGGTCTTTCACTTGATTGGCTAGAGTTACCCCAAAATGTTTTATATTATTTGTTGCCAATGTGAATAGTGTTATTTCCCTGATTTCTTTCTCAGCCCATTTGTCATTTGTATATAGGAGGTCTACTAATTTGTTTGTTTGTTTGAGTTAATCTTGTATCCAGCCACTTTGCTGGAGGTGTTTATCAGCTGTCGGAAGGAATTCCATGGTAGAAATTTTGGGGGTTGCTTATTATACTATAATATCATCTACAAATAGTGATACTTTGACTTCTTCCTTTGTATCCCATTGATTTCCTTCAGTTGCTTTATTGCTTCAGCTAGAGCTTCAAGTACTATATTGAGTAGGTATGAAGAGAGTGGACAGCCTTGTCTTGTTTCTGACTTTAGTGAAATTGCTTTGAGTTTCTCTCCATTTAATTTGATGTTGGCTGTTGTATTGGTGTAAATTGCTTTTATTATGTTTAAGTATGTTTCCTGTATCCCTGATCATTCCAATATTTTTATCATGACAGGGTGTTGGACTTTGTGAAAGGCCTTTTCAGCATCAAATGAGATGATAATCTGATTTCTGTTCTTTCAGTTTGTTTATGTGGTGGATTACATTGTCAGATTTCCATATGTTAAACCAGCCCTGCACCTTAAGGAGGAAGCCTACTTGATCATGGTAGATGATATTTTTGATGTGTTCTTGAATTCAGTTTGGGAGTATTTTATTGAACTTTTTTCATCAATGTTCATGAAGGAGATTGGTCTGTCATTCTTTTTCCCTATTGAATCTTTGTGTGGTTTGGGTATCAGGGTGACTGTGGTCTCATAAAATTAATTTTGTAATGTTCCTTCTATTTCTATTTTGTGGAACAATTTGAGGACTGATGGCATTAGCTCTACTTTAGAGGTCTGGTAAAATTTTGCACTAAAACCATCTGATCCTGGGCTCTTTTTGTTTGGGAGACTTTTAATGGCTACTTCTATTTCCTTAGGAGTTATAGGTCTATTTAAATAATTTACCTGATCTTGATTTAACTTTAGTAAGTTGTACCTATCAAGAAAATTGTTCATTTCTTTCAGGTTTCCTGATTTTGTAGAGTAAAGGTTTTTGAAATATGACCTAATGATTCTTTGGATTTCTTCAGTGGCTGTTGATATGTTCCCCCTTATGTTTCTGAAGTGTTAATTTGGATATTCTCTCTTTGTCTTTTAGTTAGTTTGGATAAGGGTTTGTTTGTCTTTTTGATTTTTCTCAAAGAGCCAACTCTTTGTTTCATTGATTCTTTTTATTGTTCACTTTGTTTCTATTTTATTGATTTCAGCCCTCAGTTTGATTATTTCGTGCTGTCTGCTCCTCTTGGGTATGTTTGCTTCTTTTTATTCTAGAGCTTTCAGGTGTGTTGTTAAGTTGCTAGTGGGGAGATCTCTTTAGTTTCTTTATGAAGGCACTTAGGGCTATGGACTTTCCTCTTAGCACTGCTTTCATTGTGTCCCATGAGTCTGGGTATGTTGTGTATTCATTTTTATTGAATTCTAGGAAGTTTTTAATTTCTTTCTTTACTGCTTCTTTGATCCAGTAGTCTTTGAGTAGAGAGTTGTTCAGTTTCCATGTGTTTGTAGGCTTTCTGTTGTTTCTTTTGTTATTGAAGTCCAGCTTTAGTCCATGGTGGTTTGATAACAGGGGAGTTATTTCAATTTTATTGTATTTGTTGAAAATTGGTTTGTGACTGGGTATGTGGCCTATTTTGGAGAATGTTCCATGAGTTGCTGAGAAGAAGGTATATTGTTTTGTGTTTGTGTGAAATGTTATGTAGCTATCTGTTAGGTCAATTTGGGCCATAATGTCTATTAGCTCTGTAAATTTTCTGTTTAGTTTTTGTTTGGATGACCTGTCCATTGGTGAGAGTTGGATATTGAAGTCTCCCACTATTAATGTACTGGTTTAGTTGTGTGATTTAAGCTCTACTAGTGTTTCTTTTACAAATGTGGGTTTCCTTGTGTTTGGGGCATGGATGTTCAGAACTGAAATGTCATCTTGGTGAATTTTTCCTTTGATGGGTGTGAAGTGTCCTTCCCCATCTCTTTTGATTAATTTTGGTTAGAAGTCTATTTTATTAGATATTAGAATGGCTACAACAGCTTGTTTCTTGAGTCCACTGCTTGGAAAAATCTTTTTCCAACCCTTAACTCTGAGGTAATGACTATCTTTAGTGTTGAAACCTGTTTCCTGTATGCAGCAGAAGAATGAATCTTGTTTTTATATCCATTTTGTTAGCCTGTGTCTTTTTATTGTGAATTGAGTCCATTTATATTGAGAGATATCAATGACCAATGATTTTTAATTCCTGTTGTTTTGTTGTTGTTGGTTGTGATTTTGTGTGTGTGTGTGTGTGTGTGTGTGTGTGTGTGTGTGTGCTTCCCTTCTTTTGGTTTTTCTGGTGTGAGATTATTTATTACCTGTGATTTTGTGGGTATAGTTAACCTCCTTGGTCTGGAATTTTTCTTCCAATACCTTTGATAGGACTGGATTTATGGATAGATGTTATTTAAATTTGGCTTGGTCATGGGATATCTTGTTTTCTCCATCTATGGTGATTGAAGTGTTACTGGGGATAGTAATCTTGACTGGAATCTGTGTTCCCTATAACTTGCAGCATATATGTCCAGGCTTTTGGAGTGTCCATTGAGAAGCCAGATATAATTATCATATGTCTGACTTCATATGTTACTTGGACTTTTCTCCCTTACAGCTTTTAGTATTCTTTCTTTGTTCTGAATATTTAGTGTTTTGATTATTATGGGGTGAGATGACTTGCTTTTCTGGTTCCATCTATTTGGTGTTTTGTATGCCTCTTGTACTTTTATAAGTATCTCCTTCATTTGCTTAGGAAAATTTTCTTCTTTGAGTTTTTTGAAAATGTTTTCCAGGCCTTTGAGCTAGGACTCTTCTCCTTCTAGTTCTATTATTCATATGCTTTGTCATTTTGTAGTATCCCAGATTTCCTGAATTTTTTGTGCCAGGAACATTTTAGATTTAACATGTCTATTCACCAATGTATCCATTTCTTCTGTGGCATCTTCTATCTCTTGTATTCTGTTGGTGATGCTTGTATCTGTTGTTCCTGTTCACATACCTAGATTTTCCATTGCCAGAATCCCCTCAATTTTTTTTAATTGCTTCTATTTCCATTTTCAAGTCTGGAACATTTTTATTCACCTCCTTCAAGTGTTTGCTTTTCTCTTGGCCTTCTTTAAGGGATTTATTCATTTCCTCCAATTGTTTGTTTGTGTTTTTCTGAATTTCCTTAAGGGATTTGTTCATTTCCTCCTTAAGGTCTTCAATCATCTTCATAATGTTGGCTTTAAGGGTTTTTTTTTTTTTTCTTGTGCTTCTGTTGTGTTGTAATATCCAGGGCTTGCTGTAGTAGTTTGGGCCCCAGGCTACACAATTAAGAGGGACAGACCATTGAAGTCTGTTAAACCAGAAGCAAGCTTTATTCCAGAAAAAGAAGAAAAAATCACCACAGGGCACAAAAAAGCTTACCAGTTAACTGGGATCATAGTCAGAGATCGGGCATCTGAAACTGTGATCATGGGGGCTGGTTTGGGGCCTCTTCAGGATGTAAGTCCATGACCATAATGGCAAACATCATGGGAGCAGATCAGCAGTCATAACACCGAGCAGTAGCTGAGAGCTTACATCCTGATCTATAATCATGAGGCAGTGTGATGGTTTGAATACAAATGCCCCCCCAGCGACTCTTGTGTTTGAATGCTTGGCCCATAGGGAGTGGCATTATAAGAAGGTTTTGTCTTATTGGACTAGATGTGGCCTTGCTGAAGGAACTGTGTCACTATGGGGACAGGCTTTGAGGTTTTAGACACTCAAGCCAGTTCATCTCGAGCTGCCTGACAATCCGAATGTAAAACTCTCAGCTCCTTCTCTAGCACCATGTCTGGCTGAATGCTGCCATGTTTCCCACCATGACAATAATGGATTAAACCTGTGAAACTGTAAGCCATCCCCAATTAAATGTTTTCCTTTATAAGAGTTGCCATGGTTGTGGTATCTCTTCACAACAACAAAACCATAGCTAAGACAGGTAGAGAGAGGTAATTAGGGATGGCATGAACTTTTTAAATCTCAAAACCTACCCCCACACCTCTTTAACAGGACCATGATTCCAAGTCTTTCCCAAACAGTTCCACTAACTGGGACCAAGGAAACAAATGAGCCTATGGGGTCCATTCTCATCCATACTGTCACACACGGTTTTCTACTATTCATTACAATTTTCCATTGCTGCCTTGCTGGGAGATGTCACAGTGTACAAACAGGAAGTTCAAATGGCAGCACTGGGATTCCTAGTGTTTAGATCTGTTCAATGAAAGCTTCATTGAACTGAATGGACCTAACCAATCTTTTCTAAATTGTCTTTCTGATTAATATGTGACTTTGTGGCTATCTCTTCACTCTGGCAGGGACTGAGAGTCACAGATAAAATGTGATGTAGTTATATGATGCAGGGTTATTTTCAGAAGGGAAAACATACACTGGATACACTTTAGAAAGTGAACTTGCCCTCTCTACCTAAACTCTTCTTCCTCACAAGAGACAGATATTCAGAATTAGCAACTAAATGGAGAGATTAATATTTTCCTTGTTAGAATGCAGAGTGTATTAGGTAGTAACATTATGTTATTACATTTATGTTTAGAACGATTTCTGTGTGACATGAAAAGAGATAATCATTTTAAAGAACAACACATGCACATTGCTTCCACCCTATATTAGCCTTTGTGCTCTAATGCCTCCTAGTAGGGTCTAACTTTAGTAATTCAAATCCCCGAGTTTTTCCCTATATCAACCCATGCTTCCATTATAACAATTACAGTAATCCTAGTCCAGGCCATCATGTGGGAAGTCCAGGCTCCTCCAGGTATTCTTGAAGAGCACAAAAGTATTCTTGTCTGAGGGTCTGAGGAGAACTACAAGCTAACACAGGTTCCCATTCTTAATCAGTTCTTGTGCAAAAAAATGTTAATTTCCTGATGTAATATAAGATAATAGAAAATTAAAAATGCAGAGTTGAGTCCTTGATCTTCAAGTTTTCAGACACATTTCTCTCCTAATTTTTACCTTTACCTAGAGCCAAATTGGTTGACATTATTGTGACCTCAAGTTTCTTGTAACAGAGAGGCTGAGAGCAGACATATTTATACTGATGGTTTATTTATATTGTTAACTTTTAAAAAGCTTTTTGAGGACTTTTACACTCCATGAAACATTCTCCATAGTGATTCTGTCCCCTTTGCAGCTGGAACTAATCTTACAAATAGTAAACATACTGTCCTGGCACTAACCTACTAACCTTCTCAGGTTTATTTCACTTGGTACGTTTCCTTCAGCTCACAGCCTTTGTTACTTTGTTTTATTTAGCACCGAGTCAAGGAAGAGTTTTATGGAACAAACGTTTTGGACTTTTGGCATCATTTTTACTGTTTCTGGTGTTGCTACCAGTATTTTGCTGTAAAGTGAGAAGAGACTCTAGTGACTCTGAAGGTAATACGCAGAATTGGGCTTTGCTAACGGGAGTTCCAGGCCCTTGCTATTTAATGATGGCGGGAAGCAATCACCTACACTGCTGGTTGCAGATGTAAATATCTTATTTTTCTGCAAGCCATTTTACAATTTATCAGAATCCATTAGCATTCTTTTACATTTTCACCTAACTATTCTGCTTCCTAAAATTTGTTCCAAGCAAATGGCCAGTCGCACATTAAGTTATATATAAGTATAATCACTATAGCTTACTCTTAATACAGCCAGGGTTTTATTGTTTTTATCACTAGTAGGGAAGATGGTTTAATTAATTAAAAAGCCATAGGTGCTCTTTTATTAAAAAAATCAAAATATTATTTAACATAATGAAAAGAATGATCTGATCATCTTGTACTGTAAAATAGCTAGAAGCAAATAAAGCTAAACTTTGAAAGGTTATCTTTGCAGTGATTAGATCATGGGTTTGCTCGCCCTCCTACCTTATGTAGGTAATTCCTTCCTGTCCCCAGGCTCTGTTGTCTGTTGCACAGACCTCATTCTATATTTTGTGCTTTCAAAAACTGCTATACTCTTGAGTTGTTTTTCTAAATACTTGACACATCAAAAAACATTTTCCTTAATTTCTGTGAAACCATCTTGTAAGGCCCAACAATCATTTAAAACAATGCCTAAAGATGCTGTGACCACCAGTCTTTAGACTTCTGCATTGAAATGTACTTTGGTGATCAGAACTTGACTGGAAGGAATGTGTCCAAATGAGGGATGGGTGTGTTTCCCATGCAAATGTGAATCCAGGAAGGTGTTTAGTACTGAGCAGGCTCAGTGTGACTGTATGTTATCTCCCTGCCCACTAGTGTCAACAGCAGCACTGTGCTCCCAAAAGCACTTCCTCACTCCATCCTGACACCAAGAAAGCCCTGAGCTTTCTGGGAGTTCAGATAAATCTCATGTCCTATGCATATGTTTCTTGCAAGTACAGGATTTTGGTAACTGGGAAACGGTTATTGATGATAATGAAGTTTTCAGGGTGACATCACAGGGTCCTGTCACCCATTTTTGACCTTGGGATCATTCAGTCTAATAGTCACATGCTGCTTAATCATGAAAGTTCCTACCCTGGAAGTCTGTCCACATCTAGGACTATAGAAAACTAGGCAGAACACTCAGAACTTAACAAGGCTAGCATAGACCATAATGTATCCATACACACACCCAAGCCTCATCTATCTGCATCTGAATCAGAACCAAACTTAAACTTGAGATGGCAAGGAGAGAGAAGAGTTCCCCAATCCTGGAATGGAGAGTCACAACAAATCACTCCCTTATGGAAAAGTGACCTTCAGTGAAAAGACACAGCCAAGTAAGAAGAGCCTGCAGGGGAGGAGCTGAGGGGATGAACACCTACTTAGCTCTCTCTTCTCTGATCTCCAACCAAATTAGGGACCAGAAGATTCAGACATTCTGCCAATGGAGACCAATGCATCCAGGTTCCCCCACCAGAGGAAGAAGTACCCTGTGGTTCTGATGATGGAACTGAGCACAATTCAGGTCAGGGGTTATTCCTCTTGATTATAAAGAGAAATGTTATATGCTGTTGCATGATATTTCATTGCACTGTGACATCCTGAGACTGTTGATAAAGTTAACTTTGAATGGTGCACAGAGCCAGATACTGGCTGACTGGAATTAGCCATAGAGATGCCAAGATTTTGGATAGAGAAAATGAAAAGGAAGGAAAGGGCAGGACTAGAGTTTGGTGCTTTGTTTTGCTCTGGGGATGAGTAGGCCAAAGAGCAAGGTCAGCTGGTTGCTTCTCAGCTTTTCTGATCTAGCAGGTTTTCATTCGCACAGCTGACTTATGAGTCTTTGTTGGCAAATAGAAAGACAGAGACTTGGTTTAAGCTTACATATCAAGGCTGTGGCAATGGTTAAAATATCAGTAGATTAGGGATGGAGAGATGGCTCGGCCATTAAAGGCTAGGCTCACAACCAAAATATCAGTAGATTCAAAAACATATCAGTAGATTCATGTGCAGCCACTAAGCTAACAGAAAAACATCATTATACTTCTGCAGTTAGATGTAATGAAAAAAAAAAAACATTTGGAGCTCTTATACTAAATCTCATAAAATCTAACCTGTCTCCAGGTTCCTAGTTGTTGTTTAATATGCTATGGTTCATAAGCTTTGGTTTTTAATTCAGTTTTCTATTGCTTAAAATGTCCTTACTCTAGACTGTGTTTAGATGGTCCAGAGTTTTCAGCAAGGCCAAAAAAGAAGGGTTTCCCTGACAAATGGCATTCTAGTCTTGTTCCCTTCTTTCTAGTCTTTCAGCCCTTCCTTGGCCAGGACATTTCCTTTGTTAGTGGTTGGTGGAAACCTGGCCAACATCTGTAATGAGCCAAGAATTACTGATTGGTTGACTTGTTTTTATTCTCCTCTTTGGAGCACTGGAATCAATTATAGAAACGTATTGCTACTTTGGATACCATATTTCTACAGTGAATGCATTTTTAATATTGTTTGTTGGAATAAGATGCAAAAGGAAAGTAACCAAGGTGACCCTACGATTATGAAGAGATGGGAAAGAGGGAGAATGTGAATTCTTACAACGAGATTTTTATCTTGTTCTCTCTTTCGTCTAGAAATGTGCCCAGTTTCTGTTGATGAAAGTGTTAACAATGGTGATAACTCCAATGAAATAGCATAAGGCATCATTTTCTTCATAGACCCATTCTCAATGGAAAGATAAAACGAAAGGAAGGAAAAACAGAAGGAAGACACAGATGTGGAACTGAAGCCAAAATCAATCCCAGCATTCATGAGGCAGGAGGCTCAGGAACTTGAAGCCAGCCTGAGTTGTATAGCAAGATGCTGTCTCAAAAACAATACAAAACCATCTCTACCACAAACAACAAAGGATGGTATAGTGGGAAATTACCAATACGGAGTCAGGTAGAAATATAAGGGTATTTAATAGGGAAAAGCCTTACTTACAGAGCGACCTAGCCAGCCGGTGGGTCAGCAGCCTGTACAGCAAGTACCAAAGAGAAACTGAAACGGAAAACGCAGTCACACTATGTCACACTGACCACGCCCTCACAAGCCTGGTCAGGCACACCTGTAGCCAGCCCTAAGAAGGCGTGGCTACAGCTTCCCCTACAGGATGGGTACCTGTATGGAAAGGATTTCATTTCTACTTAGGAATTGTCTTACTAATGAACATCACTGTTGCAGCTAGGCTAAGAGGTTACTGTGCATTTCCACCAAGATCTCAGTAGAACTGTGTGATTAGAGGTTGCTTCAAGATCTGAAGAAAGCAGATGGGAGCAGGACTATCTTTAGTGGAACTGTAGGGACTGTAAGGAGCCATGCATGGCCTGGAAACAAGACAACCAATGTGATACAGTATTATTCCTTAGTCTTAGATGATGGCTGATGAGTGTTACTGATTATAATTAGGACGATGAGTTACAAGACCCTGGGTGTCAGCATCTACAAGACTACTTAGGAAAGAGATTATATCATCACCAGAACTGACCCATGTGGTGGAAGTTAAAATTGGCAGCACAGGCTGGCCTAGCTGCTGACAGATAGCTATGAGGGCTATTTGAGGAAGGCTTCTGGCTCAGTTGGCATATTGTTCATCTGTCTTCAAACAGGTGAAGAGTCCCATGCAAATGTTCTGCAGGGAGAGAAAGTAGAGCCTGGTTGGTTTGATGATCTGTTGCCTTCATTTTAAGAACCAATTTAGAGAAAATAGACTGATGTTAATATTTGGAAGTTTGCCAATATGATATAACTGGACCTTTTTCCCCTTAGGTAATGAAGGTTTTGAGACTTCAGTTGGTGTGATTGCCATCTATCTGATATTTTCTTTCAACTGATGTTGGTATCATATTTGTGTACTTTGTATATAGTTTTGGTAGCTTTTGTATAATGCTACCAAAGAAATTCATAAATAGCAATGTGTTAAGGATTCTATCTGAAGTGTGGTGCGATTGCCACCTATCAAATATTTTCTATCAATTGATTTTGGTATTATATTTGTATACTTTGTACATAGTTTTGGTAACCTTTTGTATAATGCTGTGTAGGATATTCATAAACAGTAATGTGTTAAGGATTCCAATGTAAAGGAAAACTCCACTGAGATAATATTATACTTGAATCAATTATAATACCTCTGCTACCTAGTAAGGCAGTAGTTAAGATTAGGATATGAAAACGACAGGTTGGCAAAGAAACAGTCAGGAACCTCTTTAGTCAAGGCCAGCTAAGACTCACTGTCAATTTGATGTAGTGGCACTTTGTTGTCCAAGAGTAACCTATGGATCACTATTATACTAAATCACATCTCCCTGGGAAAAGACTTAAAATGCTAATTAGACATACAACATGTGAACTTGCAAGTTGAACATATAACAGATCCAGCATGCATAGAAAAGTAGCATTATGGAAACAGGCTAAAAAGTTCATGCTAAACTAACAAAATGTTCAGAGCCCTGGCTGGAGAGATGGCTTGGTGATTAAGAGTACACACTGCCCTTGTGGAAGACCCAGCTTTGATTCCTAGCACTCACACGGTCAGGCACAAGCATCTATAACTCCGGTTCCAGAGGATTTGACATGCTCTTCTAACTTCCATGGCCACAAGGTGTGCACATGGTGCAAATACATATATGTAGGCAAAATATCCAGATACATAAAACAAAACAAAGCAAAATACATCTCCTAAAATAAAGTTGAGAGCAAGCAAAGCTGCTGGACCACCCTTGGCTCTCCTCTCCAAAGCATATTGTCAATATACGAACTCTACACCTGTGTTCTCCTGCTCAATCCTTTGCGGATATAAGGGCCTGAAACCCTTATAGTGATGTCCTGCAAGCCTGACATTAACCAGTAATGTCAGTCTGTGAGCTAGCCAGGAGGGAAGATTTGTGTTTCTAATCTCTCAAACTTCCAACTCATTTTGGGTTGAGTGATAGGAGCTGCTTCAAACTGTGAGCTGGGGGAAGGGAACATTCAAGGGCTATTAGGGCACAAGCTGCTTGAAAATCACCCGGACAGGATTATCTGGTTCTGTGCCAAGTTGGTCCTCACTGAGGTACCCTACAGAACAGCACAATGTCCCACTCCTGTATCACCTGCCCAATAAGCACTAATAATGGCAAAGGAGCCTTGAATATTTCCCTCATCTCTCTCCCCTACCAGGTCTCCTTCTCTGCCATTCTTTTCTTCCTTCACTTCCTCCCTTCACTTTCACTTCCCTTCACATCCTCCAATGGAGACCATTGGTGGGATGGGGATGGGGATGGGGATGGGGGGCTGTCTGGGTGCTCATGGATAGTCAGACTTTGAGGATTCAAGTCATGGCCCCCAGATGAATGATGTTAGGAAACCCAGGTACTTGGGAATCTGACCTACTTGAGAATCTCAGATATAATAAATGTGCCATGACCATGATAAAGCAGCCCTAGGTCTGGGGATATCCAGCCTAGAATGGGTCTACTGAGTACTGATAATTCCCTGGGCTCCCCTGAGCTGCTGGAGCCTTTCATGTCTCTAAACATTTTCAACCTCTTCTGGACTCCTTGCTGAATTTGCTCCTTGTATCCCTACTGTCTTTCTGTGTTACCATACTTTACCAACTCTCAGTGTGTGTTCCTGCTCGCTTACTATATGCAGTTCTGGCATAGATTTAGTCTTCCAGGCAGTAAGGCAGCTTCTGAAACACAAGGTCCATGAAAAAGACTGTCCGTTTCAAACATGAAGGGCAACATGGAAAAAGAAACCAGAGCCCTTTTGGGGGCCAAGCCCCTTCTCTGATGGGCCTAGTCACTTGAACCATTTTAGAGCCTTATAAGAGGGACACTTTGCTCCACCCAAGTAGAAAGAATTAACCTGAGAGTTCCCTATAGCAAGGGCTTGCATCCCACTCTTGTGAAAGGTACTGCAGAACATGGTCCCTGGG